GGGGATCGTGATTTCGAAAAACGGAGGAGGACTGGAGGTGTATATTAAGAGGAAGTTGGGGAACCTTCAAGAATGTTCAGGCTGAATCGCATTGTGAAGTGGTCTATACATGATGGAGCGTTTGAGTAAAAAACTCATAACTGGAATGTTGTAAGTGTCATGTAGCTTTGCAATGGCATTCCGCCGCAGGTACGAAGATCTTGCCTCATCCTTATTGCAAGTACAGGAAAGACAGCCACCAGCACAGCAGAGCAAACACACTGCAGTCAGGAAAGAGAAGAGGAAAATCGAGAGACGTCCCCAGGGAAAAAGTAAGACATCACCTTTGATGAAGTCCCGAGCGGACCGTGCTGCGGTCACGAAGCCACAGAAAGCGAAACAGTCAGAAGGTAACAAACGACAACGAGATTCGGTCCCCACCTCGCCGGCCTCCGTGAAGAATCGCACACGACACAACCGATCCCCGCCACGGGCGCCAAGGAAAATGTCATGTGCAAAAGGGGTAGAGGATCAACCTCGGCGCAACATCGAAAATCCGAAGAGGAGGAGAATCATTGACGGGGTGGGAGAGAAGAAGGAAGCAATTGATCTGAGGGGTTCCGATGGTGTCGAGGCAGGCGACACCGGAAAACGAGACGTGCCACGGGACGCAGTCCGTAAGACACAACAGTCCGACCCGCACGATAATACCGAGGGCGGCGGTGGACGTAGCGAGGGCACATGCAACGAAGGAGAATCGTACGCAGAAGATGCGAGCAACGAAGAGGAGAACAGCGACAGTGGGTCCTACAACAACGAAGATGGTGATGACGACGATGAAGAGGAGGAAGACCGATCCCGCAACAGCGACACAGAAGAAAGATGTAGCGAAGACAATACACAAAATACGTCTCGAAGAACGCATGGAGGAACAAATGACGGACGCAGCGAGGAAAACAACACGGACAAGCAGTTAGTCCTGAAGGAGAAGGCAAACGAAGGACGTAAGTACAGAATGGTCGCGGAAAGGGAAAAAAAAAAAAAAAAAAAAAAACATGAARACAAATRGTCACTCGACATGTTGTTTCGCTCAAACTGTTGTCGTTGTGTGGACGTAGTGCAAAATGGTAGAGAACTRTATGCRTTRTAGGATAAGAAAATCTRAGATACGCTGCAAATAACTAACCAYATTTGCAGYTGTTTCTCYTGTGAAGCCATTGTGCGAATGGGGTGCATGACAACTTCAAACTTGTGGGTATTCGCGCGCGTTGTTGCAGGCCGGTGCATATTACAAGGAGGGAGACAGCGCAAGGACGACACGAAGGTGGCCAAGCAATCGGGGGTTGTCACAGGAGAGGAAAGCGAATTATTTGGRAAAAAACARAAAGACAGACTGCTGAGGTCCGTCRCGAAAGCTTTTGTGCACTCAACAGCGAAGGACGCAACTTTCTACCCTTCATAGGACGACTTCTTCAATGCGGTGCAGTTGGCTGCTACCCTTTTGGGATAAGATGTAAGGGCAGGATGCGGGAAGCATGTAGAGAAGAAGGGTTTGCGGAATGTGCTCATAGAGTGCAACCGAATGATGACAACGGTCCGCGGAGAGTTGTCTTGGCACTTGTGACACTGGTTCTGGGCAGAGAGAGGTGTCCCCCTCGTACGCAGCGCACAGATGGATCACAATAACACCATGCGCAACGAACTGCGTTGCCAGATGAGCAAAGACAAAACGTGGAGGAGGAAGGACGAGGAGCCATGGGGAGCGTCGCATTTCAAGAGGGCACTCACAAAAGTGTTCCAAATAAGAAAAGACGGTGAGAAGCTGGGCGTGATGTTGCAGCAACTAGCGTTTACCGAACTTGTGATCCGCACAGAAATCGAGCAGACGAAGAAGTTAAGCAAGGCGTCGGATCAGTTGCTGCAAATGGTCAGTATAAAGAACGACATAGTGAACACAGCCCGGAGTCGGGACACAGTTATGAGTTTCTGCATTTTCAAGCTCGACACCGATACCCACGTGGCAGATGTGGCTACACGGTACTACAGAGCAGGGAACACAAGGAGAGACATGTGTGCGGTTGACAACAACAGCGACAACGCACAAAACTTTGAATTCGAAGTGTTGGTGCCACACACACAATCACGAGCTTCGTGCTGAGGACCTTCGAAACCTGTCCCGGACTAACACTCCTGTTCTTCAGACAGATGACGCATGGTGAAAGACGTGGTGGTACTGCGTGTCTGCAACTCCTACCACAGGAAGACGTCGAGAGAGAGAGAGAGAGTGAGAGAGAGAGAGAGAGTCTGGATGAGAGAGAGAGTCTGAGTGAGAGAGAGAGACATATAGATAGATAGATAGAGAGAGAGAGAGAGAAAGAGATGACACAGAATGTGCCCTACAGTTGATGGCGGGAAACAAAGCGAGACTCTGGAGAGAGAGAGAGAGAGAGAGAGAGAGAGAGAGAGAGAGAGAGAGAGAGATGACCCAGAATGTGCCCTAAAGTTGATAGCGGGAAACAAAGCGAGACTCTGTAGAGAGAGAGAGAGAGAGAGAGAGAGAGAGAGAGAGAGAGA